TAGGCATTTTATTGGAATTTTAGCCTAGGGCATGGTATATACGAACAAATTGAATGACGGCGTCTCAGTCTGAGATTTTGTCCACAGATAGGTCAATCGATGATTAGAATATCGTGAAAATTTCAGCTCAAAAGAAGATTTCATTCCCGAGATACTAAAGTCCCATAAAAACAGAAAATCCTAGCATTTGTTGTCCTATATGAGTCATTTTTGGGACATTAATATCTAGGGAAGGAAATCTTCTTTTGAGCTGAAATTTTCACGGTATTCTAATCATCAATTGACCTATTCCGTGGACAAAATCTCAGACTGAGACACCGTCATTGAATGTGTTCGTATATACCATGCCCTAGGCTAAAATTCCAATAAAATGCCTATAACTCTTGACAGAAGGCCTAAGGGGATTCAAATATCTTGAGGTTTTTCATACCTCACTAGAGTCTATCTTATGCACAAAGTACGAACTCAAAAGGAATTTGATAGTTGCAAACGTTCCCTCGTAAGTACAAAGATAAATAATAGATTTCTCTTTATTTTATAAACTAAAGATACTTAAATAGGTCAAATATATTGAAAAAAAAAAGTGTATATTTCTCTTTAAAATCGAAAAAATAAATTTGTTCTCTATATCTAGAAGAGTAAAAAAGTCTGTATTACGATATAATCATGGAATATTTTTTTATAAGATAATTAATTGATATTAAAATTGTTTTAATAGTCTTATAATTGTAAACAAGAATCAAATGATGAAAGAAAATCAATGCATTATTTTGATCATGTTTTCGAAAGTGAAATAAATCAAGCAATTAAACTTACTGAAGAAGCTTATGAAAATATGTTATATAAAGAAGTAGTAAAACATGGCTTTTTTCAACTTCTAAACAGTCGAGATAATTATCGAGAATTTTGTTCAGGAATTGAAAAAATGAATATTTCATTAATAAAACGTTTTATTGAAGTTCAAACACTTCTTTTGGCACCGATTTGTCCACATGTTTGTGATTATGTTTATCAATTATTGTATCCAAATAAATCAATTATGGAAGCTAAATGGCCAACACCCGGTAAAATAAATCAATTTTAAATAATATATATATATTTGATATAATATATTTTAGGTAAAATTGATCAATCATTAATCGATTCTTGTAATTATCTTATAAATACTGTACATTATTTTCGTAATCGTTCAAAAATATTGACGACACAACAAAATAAAAAATATAATGTAGCAGTTATTTATGTTGCTTGTAATTATCCTCGATGGCAAATATTTGTTATTAATCAATTAAAAATATTTTTTAAAGAAAATTTATCATTTCCAGATAATAAAATTTTATCATCATATTTTAAAGATCGACAAGAAATTGATAAAAAATATGCAAAAAAAGTTATGCCTTTTGTCACTTATTGTCAACAATTAGTAAAAGAAGCAAATAATAATATTAATATATTAGATCAACATTTATCATTTAATGAATATGAAATTCTTGTACATAATCAACAATATATTCAAAGATCATTAAAACTTGATGAATTAGAAATTAAAGTAATTGATGAAGAAGACACAATAAATATAAACAATCTAGATGATGTTATACCAGGTTATTATACCATCAAATTTGACCATTTAAATTATTGAATTTTTGTTTTCTAGGTAAACCACTTATTCAATTTTTTTCGAAATCTTCGATTGACGAATCATCATCATCATCAAAATTAAACAAACAATAAGATGAAATCAAATAATTTCAACCATTCTGAATGGACGTCTGCTATTAAAAATAATATTTTAATCATATTTTTTTTTTCTTTTCTATCGTACTAGTCATGAGTACAATTATTCTTTTCATTTAAATATTAATAAAATGTATATAAACAATAAATAGAATTCGAACAAATGTCTATTATTGAAAAATAGTTTTTTTCAAAAACATTTATGACATTATTTCAACACATAAGAAAATGATTATAGTCATCAAGAGATATCAGTCTTTATTTTTTGAAATGTTATTTCTAGATAAATAAATGCGGGCACTTATTCAACGTGTTCTTCGATCTAGTGTTAATGTTGATAATCAAATCATTAATAGTATTGAACGTGGTCTTTGTATATTTATTGGTATTCAATCAGATGATGATATATCTGACCTTGAATATATCGTCAAAAAAATCTTGACTGTCAAATTATGGCCAAATGGAGATAAACCATGTAAGTTATTTCTAATAAATACTCTTGAGATTTTCTTGAATTGAATTGTCTTAATTTCTAACATTTAGAGTGAATTTTTCACCGATATTAACATAATGTCATATTCCAATATTTTCAGGGGCACAATGTGTTGTTGATCTTGATCTTTCATTGCTCTGTATCAGTCAATTTACATTACATGCTCTTACAGCCAAAGGAGCACGGCCTGATTTTCATCTTTCAATGTCATCGGAACAATCAAAACAAATGTACGAAAAATTACTTAATAGACTAAAACAAAATTACAAGTCAGACAAAATATTCGATGGATGTTTCGGAGCTTATATGACAGTAGCAATAGGTCAGTCGTTTACTTTAATTTTTAATTCTAACTTATATAACAAATATCTAGTGATTTCTTTTTACATAAGATTTCTAGAAAAGAGAGCAGTATCTGACTTCGAAACATCATATAATAATTTTATTAGATATGATTTTTTTATTTTAGAAAATGATGGGCCGGTTACAATCATGATAGACAGCAAAGCAAGGAAGCCTACGCAATCAAATGCTGTCGAAGATCCTTCCACTGTTGCCGAAGACACTGCTTCGACCACGGAGTGAGAAAGACAATGGTTTATTCTAAGTCTTAACTCATGTTATTGTTGTTTTATATGAAATAAATTTAATTAAATACATTTGTCATATTCCGATTTTTTCGAAAAGAATTAATCGTCAGATATTGCACCGACTAAAAGTATGTTTTCAAGGAATTATTTCTACAACCATCAAATACAACTATTAATTTAACTACGTTACTCTTTAGTCGTCAGAGAAAATTAGTACTTTGTGTTTATAAAGTTGGATAAGATCCAGTATTATCTTGTTCGATATTTTGACTCTCAATATTATTATAATTTTGTATTGATAATGAATTACAATCATTTTTGTTTAGATGAACTAGGTTCGAGTATTTTTTTACAAATTTTACATAATACCGAACTTGGTTTGAAAGCTGCGAATTCAATATACCTATATCCGTGGAAATGAATTATGATTAGAGAACTATTGTTATCATTAATCTGATCCGTGTATTGAAGAGTATGGATGTAGGTGTGGGGTTTGTATTTAGGAAGCAGCTACACACTCACAAGCATACCCTCTCACAGTTTTTGTACTCCGTTTCTGATTTAATCGAAATAATTATTTTACACAATGAAATTTAGAGATAAATCATTTGTTTCTGACAATTTTGTTTTTCATCTTAGCATGCTTCGATAAGTTGACAGCAAAAATCATTTTCATATATAATGCTTGAGTTATGAACAAATATTTGATGATGAATTTTCAAGAATTGAACTTAAAATTTGAAATCGTTCTTTTGTTTTCGATATGAATTGACTAATCATAAATATTTTTTTTCAATATATCTAAGTTCGAAACAGATAATTTTTGATCATCTCTGTCTGGTATAGATGTCCGTGACGGTTTGAAATCTGCCGTTGCCGCAAATAGTATTTTTGAAACATCTCTCACACCGCGATGATTAAAAAAAAGATATGTAACTTTTGATGAGACATTGATATTGAATCGTTCATACAAAAAATAGTGTAGAAGTGATGCTTGTATCTGAACTCAAATATACTGTATTGAATACATACTATATATAAACTTAGGACACTCGATTAATTTTTTTTGATTAAAAAAACGAAGAGTTATGCACCAAGAGCAACATCGAGCGTCGTTAATGAATCTGAATGAATTGCAGCTATGTAAAAATTCAATATTTCACGTTTCTCTTAATCAATTCTTATAATTTTATCAGGTTAGACTTCTCTACTAAGTCCTCACTATCATACAGCAGTCATAAATTTCTCTCCGACCAGCCTCGAGCTATTAGAGGCGCAAGGTTAATAAGATCAATTTTTCTCATTACTAGATGTACACTCATTCCTTGATTTTCTATCATGCGAGATTAAATAATCCTTGTTTCATGTAAAACTCTTTTTATGCACCACAGTTTAAGATGAAATTTTGATCATTTTATATACTTACTGTGGTCAGCTATTGCTCAAAATAAAGCCAGACTAGATACATTATATATCACTCAAAAAAAAAAGTCACTACTTAAATACATTCTCTACTTGATTGTACATTTGTCAATTTTATCGTTGTGTAAGTGTAGAATGAAAAATAATTTAGGGGAAATCGTCCTGTTGTAGCCGCTAGTTCTAGATCAAACATGATTCTTCGTTACAAAGAAAAAATATACCGTCAAAAAATGTAATGGAGGTGTTTACTATCAAAGTCATTTGAAAAAAAAACTTTCATGTCTTGGACATATTAGTTCGAGTTCATTTTATATAAGTATGTTTGACATTAAAGACAAATTACTTCATCATACTTTAGTGATTACTCAAAACTTGAAATATAATCAAGTAGTGGGTCTTTAGTATCTGAAAAACTTATGGAAAATGCATTCAGACTAATATATTCGTGATACACATTGACAGTAGACTTAATATTGTTCTGAAGGTTTTTTCGTCTTTTCACATCTATAGATGGACGTGGATTCTCGATAAAATCTTGACTAGCGACTGCAGAAAAATTTGTGTCTATTGATTGCAACGTTGCTACATATATCCAAATGTTATCAGTGTAGTATCCATGATCTCCTCATTTGAATAGAATCAGATTTATTAAACAATATACAAAAGTATTGGTGATAAAGGATTTCTAATGTCAGAGCAGCGATTGCGAAAATTAATTAATGCATTAGAATATATCTTTATGTAGTTTCTAGTCTGACAGTTCATCGCAATATGTACATTAGTATTTTGCTACTTAATTTTTACTATCGACGATATAATGAACAATATCTTTAATTGTTCCAGCACCTGATGGTCAGCATTCATCAGCCGGTGCAATAAGTACAATTTCAATTGCTTTGCTTGTTATAAATCATGCAATATGATCAAGTTCATCAAGTAGTTCATTTCCTCTTTTCATACCCATATGTACTGCACGTAAATCCATCATTTGTTCAATACATAAGTCATGCATTGATAAAGATATTTCACTAACAACTTGATTAACACATTCAGGTGAAAATCCATTTTAATATTTATTTGTTTAGTTAATGGTAATTAAATGTTTTTCAATTATTCTTGATGCAATTGTTATTGATATGCATTTTGAAGAGAGCGTTTCAACTCGTCACGTGACGAGTTGAACAAATTACAAAAATCACACCTTTCGTAACACCAAAAATAGGCATATTCAAAAAGGCAGGGATGTCGTAACGAAATTTACAGGGCGATCGTAACGATTAATACAGGGAGTTCGTAACGGTTGCAGAGCTTTCACAACGAAGCAACAGGGTTTTCGTAATGAAATATATGTTAGTCGTACGTCATTTACGAATAGAAATTACATGGGTTTCGTAACGAATTGTGCAGGGCTTTCGTAACGGCTAAAATAGACTTTCTCATGCTATATTTCAAAGGAGATGTAGGCTGTCAAATCAGGGCTGTCGTAACGAATTTTACAGGGAAGACGTAACTGTTCATACAGGATTGCCGTACCGGAAAAGCAGAGTGTATGTGAGTTAGATGTACAGGAGTATCATAATGAAATATCAGGGCTGTCGTAACCAAACGTCTGGTCTCGAAATAAGAAGAAAAGATTTGTTGAAGATTAAGATTTTCAACTTATTTTGCTTACTTTACTTAATCAAGCAAGGGTATGTGTGGGTGTGGGTGTGGGTGTGGGGTGTGGGGATGGGCGTTGGAGTGTGGGTGTGGATGTGAATGTCTACAAAAAGAAAATGACACCAACAATCACACCCACACCCACACCCTAACGGTTACGATAGCCCTGTACTTTTCGTTACGACAGCCCTGTATTGTCACTCGTACTTTTAAGCTAAGTGCATTACGAAAGCCCTGAATGAGAAGTTACGACCACCCTGAAAAATTCTTTACGAAAGGTCTGTAATTGATGGCATTATTTTCTAAAATAGCACATATCAAACCACTAGTTACGATCACCCTGTAAAATTCGTTACGAAGCCCATGAAATTTTGTTACGAAAGGTCTGATTCTGCCGTTACGAAAGCTCTGTTACGGGCTTTCGTACTGTCAATTCGTTACGAAAGCCAGAAAACAAAAATCGTGACGAGTTGAAATGCTCCCATTTTGAAATTGGAAGACGAAGTAAATTTGTTGTTTTATTTTATATTTTAATTTATAGTATCATTTCTTTTATAGATTACCGATATACCGATCATAGTTCTTATTTTATTGTTAGTGCTTTGTGAGTTTTTTTTTTCGTTTTCAAAAAGTAACAGATCATAATTCAAAATTTCCTTAGTTTTGCTATATTTCTTGCAATACTCAAACCAATAATGCTTTTATTATTAAATAAAGTCGGACAAGATCGTCTTGGTGATGCATCGTCACCGACGTTCGAAGGTTGGGATTCTAATACAAGTCCTGGTAAGATATGTTTATGTATTCTTTAATTATCAATTTTTTTCTATTCAATTCCTAGTGACAGGATACATGCCAGTTGACGAACAACAAGCTGCTTAAATACAAGACTTATAAAATGTAATTTGTTTCTTTCTTGTGATTTTACATAATTTATATTTTGACGACTGGATCAAAATATTTTGCTATGACTATGTTTTACATTAAAAATAAAGACAACTAATCAATAAATGCGAACAAAAAACATTAAGACCCACACCTTTTCAGTGAACTTTTTCCGTCGCTTATGCGATGATTAATAATGGGTGCAATGAAATCTGAACCGTACAGGACGGTATTTTCTTAAACTAGAAGAGAATCGCTCGAGTGTTCACTTTCGATTGTGCAAGTACTTGAGGATTGAGAGTTGTTGCATGGTAACTAAAGGAGAGAAAAAGTAAAAATGTAAGGCAAAACATGAAAAAAAACCGATTATTCATTGCATACATTTCGACACTGACAACATGTCAGTTGTCTTTGAAACACTGCCTGATGAAATTTTAATGATTATTATCAGATATTCGGGCAACGTTTATAATATATTTCGAAAATTTCATAACTTAAACCAACGTCTGAATAATATTCTTGTCGATCATCGTTTCCATCTATTTGCTGATTTCTTGCACATGGATGCATGTGATGCAACTACTCATTGTTATTACACTTCTGCAGTATTTCAGAACGTATCTCAACAACTATCTTCTATGGAAAACAACAGCAAATGCAAAGCAACTTCGTCAATGTTTTGAATTATTAATCATCTATCATGTGAGAGAGACATACACTCGATTAGAACATCAACTTCAATCACATATGGAAAATATTCAATCCAAACGCAAGCATCTCAGCAATGATGTAATTCTTGATGTAGACGATAAAATTAAGGAAGCATTCGACAAGTTACACAAAAAAACGGTCACTATCAGGTTCATGAAACGAATTGAATCATTTGTTTTGACCAAAGGTGCTCGTCTTGAATGTGATGAATATGAAATGTGCACCCATAATGTTGCAACAGCTTTGAATGAACTGTTACACTATAACTTCAATCGTGTTCGGTCTGCCACGCGACTATTCGCCGACGCGATGATTGAAATGTTCAAAGCATTGATTAGTTCGAATCCTCAAGTTTTACAAGATACATATTATGGTAGCGACGGTGGTAATACCGTTTTTTATTTTCTTTTATGTCCGGCCTATCGATCAAAATATGTTTGTCGTCATACGTCGTCTGCCTGTAGATGTATTGATATGGAGTTTTATCGAGTAATGATGAATTTATTTCTATTTTCTATACAGTGCCAAAAACATGTGCTCCATGAGGAAGATTGGGCTTAGAAGAGTATTCTATATCTATTGAACCTGATGTCTTCATCCGAACCAGTGAATGATAAAGAAATTTTTGTTCAGATAAGTCTACTAGAAATCTTGAAAATCGTACTTGATGAATATAGCTTACAATCATCGACACCATGGGACGAATATTATACTGATATGTTTAGACAAAGCGTAAGTCGTTTGATCAACAAAGATCGCATTGATCTCGTTCTATTGATTTATCATAAAAATGAATCTGTACGAGATTTTTTTAATAAGCCCAGTGATAGCCGGGAAAATGTGAATATGATGACAGGAAACAAAGCGGGAAGACAATTATTTGAAATGCTCTTGGATGAGAAACCATTGGGGCTCTGGTTTACTAATACAGATTTGATATTTATTTTGTTACAAAAGAAAGAACGAAAATTACTTGAAAAATTATTGCAATCATCATTGTCATTCGTGACTCAATTGGACGATCATGGAAATGATCCATTACTCTATGTCTGTCTCAGAGTTGATGGTTGTCGACATCGAATCGTCGAATTTTTACTCCAAATTGGATGCAATCCATTAACGCGAAATTTGAACGGTCAAAATTTCATCGACGAAATACAATTGGGAAGAAATAGAAAATTATTGAAAAAATTAATTAAACGAAAAGTCATCAAAATGGATCATGTATCTGGAACCATAGCAGTTACTTTGGGAGACCAATTCGTTCACGAATAAACTCTTTCCTTAGATTCGATTGCAACTTTAACTGTATTTGTATCATATGGTATGATGATTGTAGTGGCCACCGAAGAAAAAACTTTGATTTTCAATTTTAATATCCCAAATACAAAGTCTGAGCAAACAATGCTTACACTGAAAATTTCAGGTCGTTTGGTTTTTGTCTATGCAAAGAACTGGTCGAAACACTATTTTCGGACCTATTAATAACTCTAAAAATTAGTGTGTTCAATCTTTTCAAATTATCCCTACACTACTATGATTGTTTGAGCTCGAAGACGTCTTGAAAGATAAAGGCTTCTCTAGGCTACAAAAACATTTAATTTGATCCAACGCATCATTCTCTATAGAAACAACAGAGATCAAATACCGCTGAAAATATGAAAAAACGTAGTATTTTGTCGTATTCTCACGCATAAATATTCAAAAGAACAAATGATCAAAAGCAAAAAATAGAACTAATAGATTAAATAAAGTCCGATATAAAGAAGTGAGACATGTGTCAAGAGTTCAAGTCATCGTGGTCTTACAAGTGAACTTCTTCAGCTGTGCTCTTGCAGTTTCAAAGATTTATTTTTTCTATGAGTACTACTTAATGTTCTAATGAAAATCTCAAAGGGTTTTACTTCCAATCGAGATTTAATTAAGCTATCGAATTTTTTTTATAGACCTCAAGTTTTCAGAAAACTTGCATTTTCGAATTTTCATCTGAAACTTTATTCATACAGAGAACTCAACTTGACTGGTTTTTATAGAAAAATTCACAAGTGTTGAATCAAGTCTTTTCGATATATGAGACTTTCAAGAATATAATCGCTCCAAAAAGTATTTAAACCGCTAGAACCTTTTTCCTTTTTTTTTTCCTAATAGATAGCTCTTACTATATGCTAGGTTTCATATCAGTATTATAAAATTTGACTATCCTTCCGACTTCTAGAAATTTTTCAGTAATACATCCACAGCAAGGCGTTTCTGTTTTTTCAAGTCTTTTAAGCATGACTCCCGAGAAAAAGCGATAATTTTCATGAGATGAACTATTCATCTTCAAATATTTACCAATAGAAAACTGATCGAAGTCTACACGTAATCATGTAGTTTAATAAGATTTTACTGCTCTCGTTTCAGGGTTGTGTATATGAAATAATATTGATGTCAGAAAAGTGAATACCCGTGCTTAAAAAACAGAAAAATAAAATATTTTCATGAGAACAATACCCATAACTCGTAATTATGTTCAAATTCAATAATATTGGTAGGGAACCTAGTATTGAGTTGTGTTTTTCATGGATATGACTTTTCACAGTATGATCTCAACTCTTATTTCATAAGAAAAAGTAGTATTTAGTTTCGTCTATAAACAGCAACAATAGAAAGAAATCATATAAAATTTCACAAAAAAGTAAGTGAATCCCAAAGTGTCTTCCTATTTCTGAAATCTGATTAGATTTTGCTAAGTATACATATGCTTGTTGATGCTTAGTTATTTGATACATTTCGTTTTCTTCTTCATGTATTCTGTTACTTCATCACATAATTCATCATCGTCTGTAGATGAATTTTCATTTAAAACTAATTCTTTTAGTACGAACTGGCTTTCAGTTCTATACTTTTATATAGATTAGCAGTTTAAAAAAGTAAAAATATTTTGAAACTTCGATAGAAAAACAAGTAACTATTGCAAAAAAAACTCAATTAAATTAAATCTTTTTCAGTTTTCTTCAAGGTAATAAAATAACTGAAAAAATATTCTTGTTTTCGTAATAATAACCTTCAATTTCAAAAGAAAAAGGTAGGTTTGAAGTTTTAAAAGTTTCTATGTCGTAGACTTATATGGATAGATTAGTCGGAAAATGTTTGAAAAAAAACAACTAAAATTGGAAAATTCCTAGTAGGAAAAAGCCTTTTTCTTCTCTATCCATTTCGAACCAAACGTCATATATTCAGTATTAAGAATATTGAAGAATGAAAGAAACGAAACGATACAAGTAAAAATTATTAGCAGTGATTCTTTATGTTTTTCTTTTCAATAGCTACCATTTTTGTTTTGCTTACTAAAGAAAAAAAGAAAACAGCACATTTCTTATTTTTCATCCCATAAATCATGTGCGAGAGTAAAGTAAAAAAAAAAAGTTTAAAAATACATGTGAGAATTTGAATTTTATTGTAGTAATTAGTTGCCATAAATGAATTACTTGAGTAAAGATACATGTTCATCAAATAAAAAAGTTTCCGAAGTATAAGAATAAAATAAAGGCATAAAAAAAATCATATCGTATCTCTTTCTTGGTTACTGTAATAAAATTTTTTTAGTCAATAAGCAATAGAAAAACAATGCATGGAATGGCTTGTATTTTACTATTTTATTCATTTGCTATATCTTCACATGATATACCATCTTCGGAATTTGTTGTTGAAGTTAGTTGTTGTTGTGCAGTTACTTGTACGGCTGATCGATTTACAGGAATTAGACTACACCGTAATATTTCTTGATCTTCTTGAACCACTTTTGCCATAAGTGCTTTCCGAGCTTGTTCATATTTTTCAATTTCCATACAACGCATAGCTTCTTGTATGTGTTCTGGCAAACCAGGATTAAGGCTCAATGTATATGGTAAAATTTGTCTAGGTGTTTTGCCAAAATCCAACATAATCTTAATAAACATTGTATCATCTCGAACATAACAGTTTTCTTTTGTTTTAATAACTACTAACTGACAGAATTTTTGTACACCACTGGCGATATTCTTTTCTGAAGTTGGTTTTTGAGAACTACTTGATGTTGCATCAGGATAAAATCTATCAATAATGTGAAGACCTTGACCAGTTTGATCAAACAGACAAAATACAACAGGAATAGTAAATGGCCACCAAACAATAGCATCATAATCTCCTTTATAAAGAACAAGATATATAGACATATGTGTACCTTCAACATCACCATCACCATTTAAAAATAAAGATGCACGCATTTTATAACCATTTGGTGATGAATAGAATACTGGTGATACTATTGAAGGGTGTTTTCTAGATTCAGCTTCAGCTAAAGTTGAAAAAGACAAAAATTCACATGTAACAGTATATAGATGAAACCCATTACTCACCAAATTTTCGAGCAAAATCTTCAACTCTCCAGAGAAGTTCGCCGTTATAACTTACATAATGCACGTCATCAAGTATTTGTTTGGTTTCCTGATCCTGTTTTTCAAATTTATCTCAATCAAGTTTTTTTATCATTAACGGAAACATTTTTTTGTTCACAACTCACTTGTAAAGATGAAGGTTGTTGACTTTGACATTGTGATGCATTATTTTGGACAATTAATTCATTACCAAGATGTTCCATGCTTTCGTTTGCATTTTGATTACTCGCTGTAATTGTATTAATTGTTTTAATTAAACTGTTTGTTTGAAAAAAAGCATTGGTATTCTTAGATGAGTAAGGGCAGCGACGTGGTGACAGACGTAGTACAAGTTTCATTTTATTTGAATTTTTTGAAATGGCCTAAAATGATAAGAAGTGCTTTGCTTTTTTTTGGCTTTGTGAAATTGAACTATACATACTGATTCTTCAGAAATACAAGAAGGAAAAAGTTGTTTATCACAAAAGTTGCACTTCCATCTTTGATGGCAGCCATTCAAATAGTCCTTTGAAAGAAAAAGAATAATGTATTAGAAATAAAGTAAATAATAATTTGATTTGATATCGTTTTTCTAGTTTACTCTACTATCAATTGATTTAGTAACATTAAATTCCATTTTTCCAAGATTATATGCAATGACCAAAAAAATTTCACTATTAGGTAAAAAGTACCTAAAGTTAAATCCTCTAGGCTGATGGTTTGATCACAAATAGAGTACGGTAAGCTTCGATTGCAAAGACTAATCTCAATTTAGAAAACAAATTTGAGAACATTAGACTCCTGATTCGATAGCTCAATGGTGACTCTATCATTAATAAAAACTCCATGTCAAACAGATTTAGTTTATCTGATATATGAAGTAGTTTCCGGGTAACTTCTACACAACATCTGACGGAAATCGTCGAAAACTGACCGATATTTCCGGTTAGGAAAGGTTCAAAAAGTGCTTTTGAGGGCCTAGAGAAAAAAACGCAGTTTTTTTATCGTAAATAATTCTTTGCATTAACACCTATCGATCGGTGGTTACAGCTTGTGCTCAGGGTTGACCGAGCGCTATGTGTAATCAATATACTAGGCTATAGGGTTGAAGTTCATGTACTTTTTATTCGATAGCGCTTCTTCTTGCTATTACTGTACTTACCTCATCATTTTCCCAATCACAATTCCAACCACACAGTAAACATAATACAAATAACGTTCGAACCGTCTGAAATTAAGAAAAATGAAATGTATGAGAGAAAACGAATAGCTTTTTACTAGTATATTTGATAATACCTGTTCACAGTCTGTACGTAAACCGGTATCCCTTTGAAATCAATAAAATAATGAATATTATATTGAACTAAGTGTAAAATAAAATTTGCCTCGTTTCATGCTTAGGTCGTTCCAGTTCAGACGATTTGTCCATCGTGTTTTTATTTAATATACATGCACTTCCACTAAGTACATTGGACTCTTTTGATTGTCCCTTTTGTTTCATTTTCGAAAAATTGTTAGCTGAAAATTTTACAATAAATCTAAAAAGATATTGAAATCTTTCATTATTAAACAGGCATACGTATCTACATAACACCGTCTATGATATTTTAAAATGAAAGAAGGCATATGTGAACATTTCTTGAAGTGGCAATCAACTTCTCATTAAGTCACTCGAAAATGTAAAATAATTAATTATTATTGTTACACAAAACGTTCAATATACAGAGTGTTCATAACACAGGAAATAGAGAACGAGATCTTCTTATTGCATGGTAAAATATAGAGCAACTTTTGTAGAAGGAAAAACATAGCTCTAGAAAAAATGGCAGTGCAGACATCTGAGCCAGACAAATTGAGACACAATATATAACATTTACTCTCATCATTTGTATATTTACATAATCATACCATGATCTCTTGTAATACAAACACTAAAACCAAATGAATCAATTGTGTTGATTTTCAGACTTATACTATTCTCGAAAATATGTTTAGATAAGTAAATATTAAAATACATTCAGGTGTATTTTATTGTTTTTCATATGCCCAAAAACAACCTTAAAAGGAAAGTAAACGTCGCTGTGACAAAACATCTAACTAAATCGAGACGTATGAGAAAGCAATGGTTCTAATTATATCTGAATGTACGAAGTAAATGCTGCATCTCAGTTGTATGTGAATTCACTCGTTTGTTACGCTTCAGACGCAATTATGCCTTACGAAATATTTAAATGAATAATATAAGGTATTGTTGACACAATGTATTTATATAGTATTAATCATGATTGAGATGACTTGAATAGAGTTATCAACATATTGTTTTACATACTCAAGTCTGTTGACTCGTTACCTGACAACAAAAATGGTGGCAACAGCCTGTTTATTTGCTTTGTCATATAGAATTAAAAAAAATTTCGCGTGAGTCTTTTTTTTATTCACCTGTCGTTAATCATCATTTACTCATAAATCTTATGCATGATGTGTATTATTTCGTCAAATGATATGAAATAATGATTTAAAATAAATACATTACATTAAGAAAAATGATTCTATCAAAACTAACAAATTTGAAGTTTACGTTGTTCATCAACCAATTTGTCTCGATTCAGGATATAAACAACGTTTAATCTAATGTTTTTTTTTATCTTATCGCCATAGATAACCTTTCGACTATTTATTATTGTCTTGTCCTTTTTTTTTTCATTTTATTAAATTTCTTTAATTTAAATTGTCTCTTAACTTAATTTATGTATCAAATAACCAACAGGGTGTATAACTATCTATTCTCATACGACATACTTGTCTTAATGTGTGTAATTTATATAGAAAAAAAAAACATCAATTATTTAGTAATGGTCATGTATAACGAAAAACTTCATTCTGAAATATATATCCATCTAATATTAATCAAAATGAACAGATCTAAACATAATACTTAAACAACATAAATTTCTTACTGTAATTGATAATATCAAATGCAGTCAAAACATATATCGCACTTTTTCTTTTCTGGTAATCAACTAGTTATAAAAATGAAAAAATGTTGCTTTGTTACATTGTAATCATAAAACAATGACGTTATTCTGAATTATTCATCTTGGATACATTTCATAACATAAACTGTTGTTACAACAATTTAATAAGCATCAGTCAGTGCTTCTTTTTATTTTATAGTAACCTTATGTCAACATCTCTTGATGACTTACTAAAGTAGAGATATTAGTACTTTATTATTTGAGTGTGTAATAAGAACTAAATAAATTATTAGTATACTGTCGACCACTGTAAATACTCGAACACCACAGATTACCAATAATTATTTCTCATAGAGGCACAAGAGAATAACTAACGAAAACAAAAATCAAAATCAAATTTCTCCATGGTTTTTATCGTTTTGTTTTTTATTTGTTGTTTGACTAATAGAAGAAAAGTCACCATTGTATGTAGAAACAAAATAATGTCTTTTTTATGTTTTTTTTTTTTTTTTTATTACAAATGTGAGTAAGACTGAAAGAAATCAGCAAATAGAATCATTCTTGCAAAAGTAAAACATCATGTCGACATTAAAATAAGACGAAAAAAAATATGTTGTTTCAATTGTAGGCATCTAATTTGCCATAAACAAAATAAACTCTAAATAACTATATTTTTGATATTTGTCGAATATCATTTGTATTGCTTTGAAATTTGAAACATATTATTCACTATATATGTATATCAATAGTTTCAATGTCAATTTTTTTTATTATTGTATAAAAGAACATTAATTTAACATAAAATTAAAACAAATCTTTTAAATAAATACAATACACACAAAACCATTGTTAGTCTAACATTATTAAAATATATATTGCCAATTACATATTTATAAGATTCATTTGTTAGAATTCAAAAATCTTCTAAAAATTAAACATTCTATTCGAAAGTGTATAAAAATTCAATCTGAATTTCGCAAGAAAAAAGAAAGTTTCTTAATAGAATATGTTGAATTTATTTTTCTTTCCATTATAAATCCTATGAATAGTTTTTATTATTAATTCTCATTTAAAATTATTAAAAATTCTTGGACTATCCAGAATTAGAAAGAATTTCGGTTTAATAACTTTCTATGAAAACATGATCATTCGTAATATATGAAGATGAAAATAAATTGTATGAGTTTATAAATTTAGTTATTGCCAACATAATTTTCAATGACAATTATAGTTATGATATTTCTTGATAAATCAAAAAGAATAGTCTCATCAGCTATAACCATTGAGAAATATAAAACTTATGAAAAAATCGACACAAAAAGCAAAAGACAATGAGAAAGAGAAGAACAATAACTCACAGACTATATGAAAGAGAAATTAAAAAAATCAATAAATAAAGACTAGTGGCTACATTATATCAGTTGGCGAAACTTTCAGAAACTAATATATTATAATCATTTCATTACATAATTAGTACAAGAAATATGTTTCATCATAAGTTGTACCCAAAAAACAGTCAGCTTCATTGTTAAAATCAAGTAAAGTAATGAAAAAAATAATAAGAACAACGTTGTTTCTTTTCATTTTGTTCAAAGGCAACAACTATGAAAATTTTAGTGCTTGATAAACTTAGACAAGACTTGTAATCACTAAATGTATCTAGAGAGACTTCCTACAATACAATCTCTTTGTCAAAAATGAGCTTTTATTTTTTTTTGCTCCAATGAAAAAGTTCAAAACTAAATACTGACACAGTGCAAACTTCTATACAAAATAATGTGTTTTCAGAATATCGACCATGTGAACGCAACAGAAGTCTAAAGAGTCAGAGAAAATCGAAGCTTACCATTGATACAGAGACTAGAGCCTGTGGAGTCATCTTAGATGCACTTAATGGCAAGAAATTCTGGCAAAGCATATCAATCAGTGAAACTTTCTCAAGTATTGTCGTTGAACAAAATGAAAAGAAACAACGTTGTTCTTAAAGTCCTCCCCACCCCCTCACTTGGCTAAAAACAATCACAACTGTTATGAACATCGTAGCATCTGGAACATGAAGATATAATATTCTTGTTCAACAGTTTTCAAATGATAATGTTTTTAAAAACTACTTGATTTTATATCAGGATAAAATCTAACAGGAATAGTAAATAGCCAAGAAAGTGTAGTATCATTATTCTTATTTAAAGACAAAGATACACGCATCTTATAATCATTTAATGATGAATAGAGTACTGACGATTCAATTGAAGTTTGTTTTCCAGATTGATCTTCATCTGATATTGAAAAAGAGAAAAAATCCACAGCCCATTGTTCATATATGAAACTCGCTACTCACGAATTTTTCGAGGAACATTTGTAATTTTCCATACAAATGTCTTGTCATAATTTGTACAATGCGTATCTTCAAATAACTGTATGATTCGTTGAAATTTTTTTTCACATCCATGTTGACCAGATTTTAGTTTTTTAAGATGTTCCATGTTTTCATTTGCTTTTTTATTCATATTTTTTGTTTGAAAAAAAGCATTGGTATTTATAGATATATTAGGGCAATGACGTGTTGATAAGCTTAGTGAAAGTTTCATTGTATTTAAATTTTTTGGAATGATCTAAAACGATAATAATTGTTATTGGCTTTATTAAATTGAAATATAAATACCGATTCTTCATAGATACAACAAGGAAAAAACAATGTATCACAACAGTTGCATATCCATCTTGGATGAGAACCATCTAGATATTCCTTCAAAAGAAAAAGTATCAACAATTAAAGTTAAAGCGAATAATAATTTAATTGGGAATTCTTTTTTCTTTTGATTGACATCTAGTATAGATTTATTTAGTTTAAAAGTGAATTATTCGATTTATCAACATATGATTTAATTATTAATAGGATTATATGTTTACCTCATAATTTCTAAAGTAATCATTCAAGCCACATATTAAACACATTATGAGTGCCGATTGGGCTTTCTGAAATTAAAAAAATGTATATCATGTGACAAACAACTGAGAAAATTTTTACTTGAATGCTTGCTGTGTCTAGTTGACAATCTGCACATCCAATTGGATTCCTTTGAATAAATAAAATAATAAATATTACATAGAGTTAATTGTAAAATAAAACTTGCCTCATGTGACTCTGAATATGATCTAATTGAAGTAATTCGTCGTATTCATCGACCATGTTTCTATGAAATGTACAGTCATGTGAACCAAGAAAATCGAACTCTTCTGATTTTTTCTTTGTTCTCATCGTGACATAATTATCGACTAAACATTGTTCTAGCAAATCTAAAAGATTATGGAAAATTGTCATGGCTCAACTGACACACATATCTACACAATGTAATCTATAAGATTACAAACCAAAAGAATAGGAAAACGGTTTCTAAAAACACGATTAATTTTTTATTAGGTCATCCCGAATGTCAATGAATCCATTGTTTCCGATGGGCTTCGATTCTTGAAGCATCTTGTTGAACTCTTCTGATTCATGAACTCTACCATCTCCAAAAAAATTATCAAGATACTATATAGATAAATCAATGGAAGGTATCTAAGAACATAAAACCTATCAATATCCAGAGGTAGATACCCTCATGTTTTGTATTTGAGAGTTCAAAGAAAATCTTTTAGAATTTTTATATTCATTGGTCATTATCTTAAAAAAATAATCAGAATACCAGTCTATAAGGTGAATATCGTCGCAGATAAATAATGTAGGTTAGCTCCATCTGGAAGATTTCGGAAAAAGGCAGCAAAATGGACGTAGAAGTATGGTGTCCGAATTTTTGCACTTCCAACGCTAGATCAGCATATCACAGCAAAGTCGGTCATCAGACACGTTCACCATAAAACTGCTTCGAAGTTCCTACTACTTTCCAGCTTGAAACGACATCTTTCCTGGAGCCTTCGGCCGAATAATCACGGAGTCCAAAGTCGAAAATATTGAGTTAAAGTCTATTATTTAGTATCTGAAAAGCATGCATAATATACTACTACTGCTGTCGACTGAGTTGACGCATAAGAATAGCAGTCATTTATAGATCTATTCAGCTTTATAATGTTTCCGTTGAAAATTTTAAGAACGAAAAAAAAATTCAATGACAACAAGTTTACTCTGTCAATAGTCCTTTTCTGCTCTCTCACTGTTGTTTTTTATTTCACCTACACATTTTCAACAGCACAAAAACCATTATATTTTTGTTTGTCACACATTCGGAAGTAAACATATAAAATCAGAGAAAGATAAAAAGAATACTTGGAAATTTCATTCGACTTCTTGCAACGAAAAGAGTAATAGTTTGAAAAAGTTTTCGCTGAAAGAATATGTAGAAAGTTTACATCAACTCACATCAAGCGTCGTTTAACTTGCAGATTTTTTGATAGAGAAATCAAATAGCATTTTGAGGAGTTCACGTCAAGCCCACATCAACTTATTCTCACCCAACATTATCCAAGTTTCAGCGAAAAAAATAATTTTCACAACAAAAGAGTTATCAAAGCCATTCTTTGATATATTATAACTGATTTGACTTAAGATTAAGAGATTCGACGTCTTGTCAAATTCAAAACATTAGGTTATTTGGTTTCAGTTGTAAAAATACCGGCTGAAACTAATATAAAGAGTCTATATTTACGTCTAAAAATGGTTATCTAAAGGATCTCTCCAGTATGTTGATATTATCTCGCACATGACTTGACCATGTGTATGTCGGAGACATCTCATTTGGTAGAGAACAGTTAAGACTACAAAAATTCAACCTTTTGGCCAACTTGCAAATAGAGTAAAAAGATAAAAATCTCTGGAGCCAAGTTAATATTGACCACACGATGGTCCATCTTACGTATTAACCATATATCTGATCTTGAGAAGTCATACAACGTATTTGAAAATCGAAAAACTGACCAGATTCATTTTCAGCGTACCAAAGTCGATCCCCTGAAAATACCACGCTTTCAGTTGAACGAAGAAATTGAACTTACTGGATATCCCAAAATTTTTGCAACACGTCGTATTTTCCATATATCTCATCATGAATAAATGATAAAAAAAAGCTTGATTTTTTTTCAAAAGATGCACCGTGAAAAGTTCTACAAAAAATGTCAGAATAAATCCTTTCTAACATATTCTGATGATTTCTCCTATAGTTAAAATGAAACGCCAACATATTGGTGCTACTTCTCACCGTATTTAAAATAATAAAAACGTTTGAAAGATTTGTTTTTACTTTACATATATCTCAGCTTCAGAAAATGATAATTTTTTGATTTCTATTTCAAAAGATGCGCCGTATAAAGCTCTATAAAACCTGTATGAGCAAATTCCTACTGCACAATAGAAAAGGTCTTCCAAAGATTTTTATTATTTAAATACGGTGCGAAGTAGCACTAATATGTAGGAGTTTCATTTTTACTATAGGAAAAATCATCAGAACATGTTAGTAGGGCTTTGTTCCAGCATTTTTGTAAAGCTTTTCACGATGATTCGTTTGAAAAAAAATCAAACTTTTTATCATTTATTCATGATGAGATATCTGGAAAATACGGCGTCTTCCAAAAATTTTGGGACACCAGATATATAAGAATTGAACATGTGCAACAGTCTATAGTACCAATCGGCTGAAAATGAAATGAATATTACGCTGTCATATGAATGTATTTAAAATGTGTCTGAGTTTTTATGAATGAAAGAAGATGTTTCATAGTTTATAAATTTTGAACAAAAAATGAGTTGGCTGTGAATAGATGAGTGATTTTTTAATTTATTACAATTTTGACTTTCAAAAGTAAATTGAAGGAATCGGTTTATCCCTATTTACAGAAATACATATTCAATAGACACTAGTGGTAGATCAATCTATGATTGCATCAATAGTTAATTATGTGAGATCCTCCCGAGTGAATGAAAAAAGAAAACGTGGAAAAAAACCTATGTACGTATTAAAAGCAAGATTTTTGCTGAAGCAATTTGATTTCTATCACAGTAAGTGATACTTGAAAGCTCATTTTTTTCATGAAATTTCTCAACTTTATGGAAGTTTTGTTGACTTGAAATGTGTCTTTTTCAGTCGACAAAAACTATATTCTTAATGAGGAAAAACAATGTTATTTTTGTCATTACGTTCTAGGAATTGATGCATTTCTAATTCGAGTACTACCAATGAAAGTGAACAAGACATAGAGCAAAGTTCTTCGATTATTTTCTTGATTACTGGTAGTGTCCGTTTTTTTTTTTTCTTCTAATTCATTAATCAATGTAAACATTAACTTCTAGGACAAATTAATAATGTTGATATTATCAACCAAGGAAAAAAAAGAAAATAACGATATTTATAAGTAATCATCCACACAAAAGACAATGACATTTGTTTCATACATATATATATAATAATAATAATAATAATTGTCTACAGAAAAAAAAAACAGTCTTATTATTTCTTGGATAGTTTTATCAAAATGACATCATTTCATGTATTCAAAAGTATTTTTAATTCATCATTTGAATTCTATGGTCTATCTGAATGGTTATTAGAATTAATGCCAGATAATGTTGATATCAATCGTTGTAAAATAAATCGATCACATAATGGTTGGATATTTCGAAGACATAATGCTCGTTCAACATTTATTTGTATGCATTGTATGCAATCACAAGTTCAATTACATAAAGAAAAAACAAAAATGAATAGTTGGACTTCAGCTTATACAACAATACTTTTTCGTGCACGATTAGATAAATCTTTTAATGGTCAAAATATTGGTCGTATACAAATGAGAATATTTGAACAAGGTTGTCATACATGTAATATGTATAATGTAGGTATTATGGATGAAAGTGAAATAAAAAAAACATTTTATTGGTTATATATATGGATATTAAAAACATTTTATAATATTAAACTTATTAATGATGATTTTGAAGAAATCTATGATCCACCAAAAGGTCACAATCGACGACAATTATCACATGATTCAAGACGATGTGATGGATGTCGACTTGGTTGGTGTAAATATTTACATCGATGTAAA